CAGTCTCAGACTGCATTTCGTTGTCTCAGTACCTGTAATCTGTGCAATAACAATAAAGTTGAATCTAATCTTGAGCAGGAACAAATGCATTTACTTAGTACATATCTGACATTAACGATTAAACACATGTGTGCATTCTTTATAAATGCAAACCGAGTCAAGTCGACTCCGGAGTTGTCGGCAGGGCCGCCCCTCCCTACAGGCCAATCACGCAGGCTGCATGGGCCCCGCCCAGAGGGCCTCAGCTCTCCACGTTTTCCGCGCAGTTCAGCCGCGAGGATCCGCTGTCACCCCCCCCCCTGCGATCGGCTATTCTCGTCTACTTTCGAGGCGAGCCGCAACGCGTCTCAAACAAGCCTACTATCCGGTGAACATTGCGTGTGGACGGGAGCTTTTTTGCGATTGCGTTTGCGTTAATCGTATGCGTTTAGCCGTATGCGTCCTCGTGTGGCCAGGGCCCGGGACAAATGTAACATTTGTGATATTGGGCTATATAAATAAACATTGATTGATTGATTGATTGATTGATTGATTGAATCTAAATCCTACATGCTATAAATACACTTTGCTCCGCTCCAGGTATTGCTTCATTTCATTTTTTGTAAAAATCACAATAGAGGACATACATTAGGTGCACTATCAATGTTGCTATTATACATTTGTATTCTGTATTCCATTGTATCTGTTTTATAGAGTTTAAGTGGTTTACCAATTAAGAAATACAACAATAAATGATAACCTATTATTCTGCATTGACATATAAGTGCAGATAAATTAATATAGAAGCAAATGTTCCTAATATATATATAGGATCATGGAGGAGGCAATCATTAAAGGGTGGAATATATGTATTTTGTTCTTCTTGGTTAGCCTAAAAATAGTTTTCCTCATGTTTTAATTTCCACTTGTCAGAGAGAAGAGCAGTAAAATTGACCAGTGCATCAAAAAAGAAAGTATTCGATTAAAGAGTCTCACATTAAACATGATTGCAACAAACTGACACACAAAAACAAGCTGTCTCTGTCTCCAATGTTCTTCTACTTTCTCTGTTTCTATAAAATAATCATGTTTAGTTTGTTCTTCCTTTAGATCAGTGTCTTATTTTATTCATGGACAATGGTTCAGACTTTTGAAAGACAAGCTGTATCAGAGCCTGTGTTGGTGGATTTGAGGAGGACGAATCAACAGAATTGTTGCTATTCATCCTAGCTCACCTATATTTTTTTCATTATTTCCACAAAAGTACGAGAAAGACAGTCTTAAGTCCTGAAGTACTAAGATTTATCAGGTGATGGTTCCTCTCACATTGTCTTTAACTGTAAGCACTGATCGGTTCACAGTATAATGATTCATACCGTCACTACCATCGTTATTATCTTTATTTTTTAGCTTTTTGACAATATGTTAAGCAAAAGTTAGCCAGGTCATAGAGGAACAAATAATGATTGATTTAGATCCGATAGCACCGCCATGTGGCACTTTACGAACCATTTACAGCAGCTCTATTTTCCAGGATTCATAAGTTCAAGGTTCTTATTTATCCACTTTTCAGCCATTCGAATTATTTTTTATAGACTGCTCAGATTATAATAGAAATATTAATTAGGGATAATCCATTTTTTTTATTGATTTTGCCTCACAAAAAAAATAAAAGCATAAATAGTGATTTATAGTGTCTATTATATTTTACCTTTGTTTGATAGAAAATAGTTGGTTTGCTAAATCAAACCTTATGGTCGACAGTAAAACCCCATTTTGGGTACCCCTGAAATAGAATATGTCCATTTAATGGACATATTAAAGCTATTGAAACCATGGGGAGACATAGGTTTGAATGTTTCACTCCCACATTACTTTGAATATACGCATACCATAAGTGATACTGTCAAAGGGTGTGAAATAAGACACGTTTTTTTAACCTTAAAGCTAATTATGGATTCTGACTTGTTTCCACCATAAAGTCTGGATTATAAGGTATTATTTTCCTGAAATTGAGCTTTGAGTGCTGACAGTAGAAGTGAATATTTTGGTGCATATCATATGGGTTTTTAGTTAATGATTAAAAGAGCAGTCCACCCACAGTGAAGCTCCTCCTGCTCTTTATATACTCCTCCAGTTTGCTCTCACTCACACGTGTTGCTCAAGAGCTGATTATTCCTGCTTCATTTCCCCCAGCGAGGCCTCTGGCTGACCTCTGCAGAGTGGACCGCTTCTTGTTTGGACATTCATTCTCTCTCTTCAGCTCCTCCATAGTGCACAGGGCTTTTAGCTCTCCATTCTTTGTAATTAAGTCCTCCAACAACACGTTTTTATTCATCAGGCTCCTTGTGGTGGTCAGATTTGAGTTGTCTGTTTCCAGATATAGATCAGTGTCTGCTGTCACTGCAGTGTCCAAGTCTGACCTCCAGCACCTCCACCACATCTCATCCTTAAACCCATCCTAAGGTCTTTAAGGTAGATTTCGTATTGACCGATTCACCGTCTCCTTGAACCAAAACCCAAGAGACACATTAGAGAGGCAGGCAGTCCTTCATTCTGTAACTCTGCAAGGGCTAAATCATTCATCTCAGGCCTTCTCATTATCTGTTCATTTGTATTCACTTACATAAAGGTTATTAGCTTTTTCTCCAATCCTCATTAAGCAACTTGTATGGCTAGTTCCCAAATTCGCTCAGTATACAGATGATCATCTTCAAGGTGGCCAGCACCTTGACTGTAATTAAGGATCTTTAATACATTTTAAGCTGTATTTATATTCTTTTTTTTGTTCTATTTCCCTGAATCGTTTTTTAATGCATTTTGTCAACTGATTAGTATTTTGGGTTTTTCTAAGTATAGTCCCCCCCTGTCCAATTTTGTTATTATTAGTTTTTCCTTAAATGTATGGGAGAATCTACAGATTTGGTGTGCTTTTCTTCCTCATTGCTTTAGTTTTTTCTTCACATTTTCTAAGCCTCCCCTAGATTTTTGTTATGTGTTCCTTCTTTAATGAATAAAGGGGTGGTCCTTTGAATAAGGTGCATTGATCTCTTCTGACACATCTTTTCTTATTTTCTTCTTCTTATTATCTATATTTTTATGCAATGTGTGTGCAAATAAAAATAAAAATAAAAAATGTTGTAGAGTTATATCTCTACATAAATGTGCTTTAGGATGACTGATTTACGTCCACTCTCGGCTGTGAATTTGCAGGTGTACATTTTTGCCTTTTTCATATTTTAAAATCTACACAGGATAACAGACTCCCCTGATGTACAATCTGTCTGGGCGAGTATAAAATAAACTGGACCAATCCCATGTTAAACATTTATTCCCCCCCCCCCATATAAAACTCTTCTCAGTGCTTACAGACAGGATCATTCTACATTACGGTTACATGTGTGCCAAAAGAAATAATGTAAACAATGCACATGAAGCAGCAACATGCGGGAGAACAAGACTTTTAACCTTTATCACTGAAGCAGAGACAAAGGATGCTTTTCTGACTGTACATCAGGAAAACAGATGTTCCATTTTAAAAGCTAAACTTTAAACTTAAACAAACAGCAGTGCTTTCATTTTTTTGGAGGGGTCAGACATTATTCACATGAAATGTTCAGAACAGTTGCATTCACATACTGACAAAATATTGTACATTTCAATGGCAGTTATCAAACCTCATCTCATGGAGTAGTTATTTTTATCAAACCTGCTCAGAAATCTCATCACTCAGGCTCTGTTTTTACAGATTTAGTCGCTATATTTAGACAAAAGTACTTTTAATTGGGACAAACTCCTTTTTGGACTTTAACATTGAACATCCAAGAACATTAAACAAAAATACTTTTCAGAATACAGAGTGTTGCAGCTAGAAATTACATTTGAAAGAATTAGCTTAAGCCAGAATCTCCTTTGATAGATGAATATGATCAAATCGATCATTCTGTAAATGTACATAAGTAAAGATGACTGTGTAATCTGCTAATGTAGAGTAAACCCAAAAAAACATGAAATATGCATGTTTGAGCCACGACTTGTGTTTTCCATTTTCTGGAAAAAGCAACATCCGATAAATGTTTTAGTTTCAATTACATAAAGTGTGCGTTTTTCTATATATAGACGTTGCATCTGATAGTACACTTGTCACTCTCTGTGGTGCTCTGTCTTGTCGTGTTATGCCTCCTGACACCTGCTGAGCATCAGGCAGGCTGAATAGAAACAGTCAGGGGACAGAGGCAGTTGTTTGAACAGGCACAAAGGACAGGTGGCAAGCAGACAGGGGACGTGTGAGGTGGTCACCTGCTCTTTACGGAAAGACGCCACAGGCAAGGGATGTTTTGCTTTCATAACAGGTTCTCTTTGAGAATAGGGGAAAGAAAAACATAAATAATTAAAATGAGGGGTTTATTTTAGCAAGTTTCTCTTTTGTTGTCTGTAGATTTGATCTGTATTCGCTGTTAGCATTAGCCAAAATTTGAATTAGCCAAAGTTAGCATAAACCAAAGTTAGGATTAGATCATTCCTCATTTGCCTTCTTTTACATGACAAATTAAAAAATAGTTGTAAGAAATGTAGGTAATCAAGTAGGGAAGTATAATGGTGATAAATTCAGGTGCAAAATGTATGGAATTTTCCTAGAATATTTTTTTTTCTCAAATGGGGCAAATCATGTTCGCTCTAGTAGCACTAACATATATCAAACGTTCTAGTTGTATCTATCATTTGAAGATTTTTAGCTAGGGGTTTTGTTAAAGGCAGGGTAGGTAAGAATCATTGTAAGAATGGAGAAACCAGCTCGAGTGCGCTAGAATTTGAAAGTACACAACCGAAAGAAATCTGCCACTTCCTTATAGAGCCCCTCGTCCAACACACATGAACGTGCACATGACCAATGAGGGCACGAGATAAGTTTGTGCACAGATGGAAGGCTGACAGGCAGGTAGGCCATCCAATTATCAGCTGCGGGTCGGGGCAGATAATTGGTCTAGCTTTTTACAGCGCCACGGCTTCCACAGATTAAATATTTGAATATATTTATTCATTGCTATCGGGATGTTAAATTAAGTGTTTCTGAAGTGAACTACCTACCCTACTTTTAAGTATCTACTAATATTCTTCCATTAAACTTTATTAATGAACATTTTCTGATTTTTGTTCTGGAAATGTATGCTAATTAACACATATTAGAGTATTCCTTGTTCGCATATTTAAACATAATATTTACCCTATTATAATTTCATCTGCTCCCTGACAGCTCAGTAGATTCTGCAGCTCCATTAAACTTTAATCAAAGCCTGCTCTCACATCTTAGCATCATATTACCGTCCTAACTGTTTATTCTGACCCCCCCATTGTCTTAACCAGTGTAAGGTCGCCGTCACTACACGCTCTCTCACACCCCCCTCTGCTGTTGTCAGGCAGCAGGAAACATCTTCAAAGAAACCGTCTGCATCTACATCTGCGTACGGACTCTCAGAACTCAGTGTGGGACGACGGAGGGGCGACATGAGAGACTGACGCAGGGACCCTCAGAGGAACGGACACTGTGTCTCTCACCGTTACAGTAAACACAATGAGGACTGTAAAGGAATCGGAGCACGCAGATGGCTTACATCTGAAACTTTAAACCTGAATGGGTGGTCAGGGGAGATATATACTTTACAGGAGACTGCATTGTTGAGTGAAGCATTAAAACATGTATGGGATGATTCAGAAAGATTTCAATGAAGCTTTGAAGTTCTTTGAAACCAATGATTGCAAATATGTTGAACATTAAAGTATTTTTAACCACTTAAGCTACAAATAAGCTAGCGGATAAACAGCCATACTATTTTTCACATAATAAAGTTGTAACATGTTAACAACATATTTTGAATGGAGCAACATCAGCATTCACAGTATATACTGAGTTTGTGTCCACCTCGTCAATCTTAACCATCTTCCTTTTGGCTCTGATTTGGTCTCCACCAACTTCTGATCAAAGTATGCGGCTGTTTAGCAGTTTAATACTTCACTTTTTTTTAACCAGCTAGTCTCTAACTGTGTTTGGTGCTGAGCAGGTAAAGTACAGTGCATGGGCCATGAGACCAACATTAAGCTTAAAGAGGCTAAAGGCTACCAAAGGTTGCAGAGATTGTGATCATTTGCTGTTGAGGTTTAGAACTTTCGAACTCTGAGAGTTTCAAACCATTTTAAACATTGAAAAATCTGTAGTCTTTTTCAAGCTAACAGTATGTCTTGTTTGGACGACTGACAATAGTTATATCTATCTGTAAATCTTGTGGTTGTCTGCTAGAAGCTATCATAAATGTAACACCTTTTTGCAATGCACTTAGTTGTTCCCTACAATATGTTTTAACCGGATGAAGGATCTTAGTCATTGGATGTCTGGATCTTAAGTTCTCAGAGAAACGAGCTGAGCAAACATTAGTGTCAACTCAGCTCTCAGACCCCTGGGACGTTCTTTCCTGCAGAGCAGAGCTGGGGAAACACTGATTTTTGACATGAAACTGCTTTACTCAACATGTTTACCGGGTGTAATCACAGGCAGGAATAAACCTTCTGAACACCGAAGGCAATATTTGTAAGAGAATAAACCCATGGTCCCACACTACTTCCCAATACAGCAAACACTTTTGTTAATGTTTTGATTGAGATATCCCAAGTAGGGATATACTATAAAGTTCAGTTTAAGGCAATCCTTAAATTGACAGATACCAACACAAATAATAATTTACAACAGCTGGAATCCACAGTATGTAAATTGTCTATTTTATATAGTAATTATGGTCAGTTCGTGGTTTGATCTAGCCCTACATTTAGTGGCATTTATCTGACTTTAGAAAAAACGCTTAACATGAGATACCATTAGAAACCCAGTTGTTAACAGAACAAGTTACCGCTCCATGAAAAATCCAAGTAAAAGTGTGCTTGATTAAAAATATATACATACAGTTAGTTTGTCCACAACCTAAAAATCACATATGCAAAGTAGCTGTTAGAAGCTTAAGTGCAGATCTCTTATATTTTTACAACACTGATACAATAATCAAACATCATCAAAATGATGATGATGTTGCATACAAATTCCTGTTGAAGCCAATGGAAATGTACAAGCTGACGTCGTTGTGAGTGAGCAAGTACTGTACATGCATGACTGTGTGTGTACCTTCTTGTGAGCGCATGTGTGTGTTTGTGCAGACCATCAGGCTAATCTGTAGTTTGTTTAGCCAGAGCTGAGGCAATGTTGGGGATGTAGCGGAGGGGCTGTTTGAAGAGCAGGGTCTTCACTCCTGCCGCCTAAACAGCAAGCTTTAATTTAAGGCTCCATCCAGTTGCATTTCATGAAAAATAAACAGACCCCTTAGCAGCTGGGGTTTTTGTGCCTGGGAGCGCACCGCAGAGTGCTATTTCTTTGCTCGATTGGCAATGTTCAGCAGGGCGGATTGTCTTTTGGACATTTAGCATCTTTACACAACTGCAGAAATAGCAGCCAGTTAAAAACTCTTATTTCTCCCTGTTGGCTGCTTCCAGAGTGGATATTGTAGAAGGGCAATTAAAGTAGATTAAAACCAACGACTTGACATGATAAATGTGGGGTAGAATGGATTACAATTATTGTAGCAGCATGCAAATAATCACTTTCCCCCTTCCATTTTTCTTTGCTGTGTCCTTATCATGGATCCAGCTATTGAATTAACCCCAAGGAAAACAAGTCGTAATTCTTTTCAGCATTATTGTAACAATATCAAAAATCACATTACTACACTGTATGGAAAATAATACCAAAAAACAAAACAAATAAGCTGTCATCTTATCTGATTTACGTGGACAAACAACAGCCTGTGACAAAAACATACTTCTTTTGAGCTCATTTTAGGCCCTTTGAGAAAGCTCCGGGGCTGACTGGCAGCTGTCCACGGTCCTAGCTGGAATGCAGTGTACGTCTCTGGGGTCAGAAGTGCTCGGGGACCGTGGGATGATGGGTGTTTTGGATTAAGAGAAGGGGGCATGGGGGTCATGAGGGCTTTCTGGCTCTGTGAGGTGACAAGGGGGTGAAGTCCCGCTGTGACCGCTTGTTGTTCCCACTGTACAGAGATGAGATGGAGGCATTGGTGGGGGCCAGCGGGTGAGGCAGAGCCCTCCGAGGATAAAGTGGGCCCCCCCTGAGCAGCAAGACATCCCGCACTGCTCCCCGGAAAGGCTTACTGACGAAGCAGTAGAGGAAGAAGTTGACAGCTGTGTTGAGCATGGCCAGCATGTTGGACAGGTCGTAGGCCAGGTGGACGCGCCAGTCTCGGTGAACTGAGGACACGTACAGATGGTAGATGACCACTACTGTCCTGGGGGCCCACAGCACAGAGAACACAGATGTGATGGCCAGCAGCATGGCAGTAGTTTTTCCAAGTAGCCGCGGAGACGCAATCTTTGACCCGCCCTCCTCCTGGCATGGCTGCTGCCTTTGCCTCACCCTCAGCTTGTGGATTATCAAAGAGTTCAGCAACAAGAAGATGCTGCAGGGCAGGAAGTAGATTATAGTTACATGCGTCCATATGAGGACGGTGTCCAGGGCTGTGGGGGGGTTGCTATTCCTCCACATGTCCGACCACCAGAAAAAGGGCACACCCGATACGAGGGATAACCCGAGGACCACCCCAATGATCTTCCTGGCCCGGGCCGGGTAGCTGATCTGGCGGTGGAGGAGGGGGTGGCACAGCGCCACATACCGGTCCACGGTAAGGGGCACGGTGGACCAGATGGAGGCGTGGTTTGCAGCAAACTCTGCAGCGCTGACAGAGTGCAGCAGAAGTATGGGGACGTCTCGGTGAAAAACTGCCGTCTCAAGCAGGAAGCCCACAAAGATGATGAAGAGTTGGGAGAGAATGTCTGAAGCAGTCACGGCCAAAAGGTAGTAGTACAGAGCTTTCTTAGTGCGGGATGCTAGCCTGGATAAAGCCACGGCTGTGAGGATGTTGACTGAAAAAAACAGAGACATAATGGAAAAGTTGTAGGAAATTAGTTGTATAAAAAGAAAATATAATGCCATTTACCGCCACTCTGCTAAACTACGCTAAGATGTTAAATGGCTCATATTTATATTTTCAACTCCTGGAAACGTATTTAATGTAGCCAAGGTTAGCTGTGGCTACTAGCATGCTAGCTAAAGCTGTAGTTTGGCTTGTTTTTAGCTCTGTTTGGAAGTTAATGCAAATTTCACAAAACAGGAAACACTAATAAGTGTAGCCAAGGTTAGTTTTGGCAAGTAGCACGCAACCGTAAGTTGTTAAACTGCAGTTTGGCTTTTTTTTAACTCTCTTTAGAAGTTATCTCAAATTTTGCAAAACAGGAAACAGAATAAATGTAGCCAAGATTAGCTGTGGCTAGGAGCATGCTAGTTTAAAGATGTGAGAACTGCAGTTTGGCTTGTTTAGCTCTGTTTAGAAGTTTTTGCAAATTTCACGACTTCTTTCACAAAAATTATATATCTATATAACTCAATTTCTTTCATGGTGCAAAACATATGAAATTATGCGGCATATCAGTTTAATGTTAATGCTGCATTTGTAGGGAAAACATGCATTCATAGCAGTACTGTTGCCACACAGTATCTTTTTTACACAGCATCTGCAATCTGTTTTTCAAATCTTGTCAGCGGGATATTTTCGCTGTAGCATCTGTAAAATCACCCGTCTTTTAAGACCCCTTCCGGCATACAGCTGTTGACTCTTGCCCTTTGGCCTTTCTATTTATTTTCCTTTGGGAACAATTAAGTGACGCATCCAAATGCTCTGGTGACATGTAGGCTTGTTTTGATAACCACTTGGTCTAAATCTCTGCTGGATCAATACCAAATCACCATCATCGACTTGTGCATGAAGCACAGTAATGAGAAAAATGCTGAGGTGAACGCTGTCCATCAATGTGACATTTATTTCCACTTAAATCAGGTGATACATTTTGAAACAGATACATTCCAAGGACACTTGGCCGGAGCGACAGACGACTGGATAAATACTCATACTGTAGACTCAAACACACTGATTGCAAGATAATTAAAAAAATTTAACCTGTGAAAAGAACCATTCATGCTTGGTCATGTGCCACAAAAGTGTGACTGGTCCATTAGAGCTCTGTAATGTACCTCTAACTCACTTGTGTATTGATTTATTCTGTCCTCTGCAGTTCCCACTGTTATAAATAGATATCAATGCAGCAATTTGAACTGTACTGTAATTGTGATTCACTGCAAATGCAACATTAACAATCGTGTCGTACATCAATTAATATTCGGACTCAAATGTACATTTACCTAAATTACAAAATAAGATATTTGACGTAAAAGACATGTTTTCTGGTAGGAGATATAGCTGGAGTTCATGGACTAATATTACAGCAGTGGTAGCAGACGTCCTTGCCTTTGAAGACTCAAAACCATGGCGTATTAAACCCCAAGGTATAAGAAAAAATGAATTTTATTTAAAGGTCACCTATGATGCAAAATCCACTTTTTCATGTCTTTTATACAGAAATATGTGTCCCCTGTGTAAAGAGATTCTGAAAGTTTCAGGAACAAATATTTGCTCTCTTTTTGTCCTGATCTGTCAAAAACTGTGTGTTGGGTTGTGTAATTTTAGCCAATAACCAACCAAGGTAACACCCACCCACCTTATCACCTGAATTTCCTCCTTTTTTAACCAATCATCTCGCAGAAGGGTGAGGGAAGTGGCACCTCATTTTCATCTAAAGTAACAGACACAGAATCAGCCCTTTTGAAACAGGGCTGAAACAGAGGGTCTTATGGGATTCTGCAATTAATTATCTGTTTGGTTTTTGGAACCAAACACTTCAGAGACATGGTTTGTATACTGTATATCTGAGACGTATAATATATTGATGAAAAACAGTATAATGAGGGACCTTTAATTTGGGTGAACAAACAATGCAAACATTTCTCACTATAAGACATACCTGGCACTCCCACACAAAGCAGGATACTGTAGTAGATGACAGGGATGAAGCCCAGGACACATTTGGACTTCTGCAGCTCCTCAGGTTTCAGGCCCAGCTCCTGTTGGCTGGACGCTGTCACATTGGGCCAGTCGATCATGACCTTGGTGCTTCCCCTGGGAAATAAGTAGAGACAGAGACTCAGAGTTAGTGTTTTCATTAGGAAAGCAGGAAACAAGGGAAAGCTGACGAATAATTGTGATCTTCTATAGTTTTCCTATTCTCAATAAATCCCATGATAACCTAAACTACCTATGAAATGTTTATTTTTTTTTCAATCCCATATACACCTGCTGCTTTCACCAATACTAACTAAAGCATTAATTGTGGAAAATTCCGCCGCTGAAAATAGTCCCAAATACTGTTGACATATACACTTTTTCTCATCCTGTTTGTTTGATAAAAACACAACTGTTTTAGTAAATTACTGAGCCTTTATCTAAAGTGAAACAATAATACTGTACTGTATGTGATATTTGTGTTTAAAAAAAATGTTCATCTGAAGTTAGCACAAATGGGTTTGTCAGAAGGAAAAGAAAGACACAATTGCTTTGTAATACTAAAATGGATTTGAATTAGGATTTGGGTAGAGCAAATACAGATTTTGAAGCTTGAAAATAGAATATTTTGAGTTCAAAGGAAATATATTTTTATTTCAAATGCTTTCATGCCTTAGAAATCAAGTCTCAACAAAAGACAGAATAGGATATTTTCATCTGAAATATTTCTAATGATCTTATGATTTTCTTTTATGACTAAACGGTTCATATTTGTGTCCAAATCAAAAAAATAAGAAGAAACTTCAGTTTCACAGAGCCTCTTGTTGTCCTCACTTTTAGATTTTTCCTCTAAACCCCAAATAATATGTTTTGTGTATAACATTAAGATAATTATCATTCTCATTTGAGAAGCTGCAACCAATAAATGGTTTAACATTTGTGCTTGAAAAATTATCCAAACAATTAATTGATTATCAAAATAATTGATGATGAATTATTTGTTGAGGGATTAATTTATGGGACTGCAAGTTAGAGCTGCAACAATATTGTTGCAGCTCTAACTTGCAGTCCCATAAATCAAGGGAAATAAAGTAGCTAAAAATACACTAAAATACACCTTGTCTTTAGATAAAGTTTCATTTACGTAAATACAATTCAATATCAATTCATCATTGACAATAGGTCAGACTTGTATAGAAAACTATCACTCTATAGACAACCTTGTATATACTGTGTGAAATATTTAATTCAATTTAATGAATAGGGCCTAACCATAACAGAAGCTGGTTTTTAATCTTCATAATACTATTTACAGAAACCCAATAATATCAAGTGTCAAACCTTTGCAGATGATGACCTGCTTTTTATTTCTGCATCTTGCATTTTACTACAACTGGCGTGATTCATGTTTGCTTTACGGAGCTGTTGCTGTTTTTCTGACACAAACTGTGGAAAACAAAAAGTGGGTATATTTGGACTCAGTCAATTAAACTGCAGGTGCACAACAGCAGATGTGCTGACAGCGATGACCCTGTCCCCCTCCATCCTTCCACGAGTCATTATCGTCCCGTCTCCCTGTCTAACCTTTTCACCCGCTAGCCATCCATCCTGTTTTTCTCTGTCTGTCTCTCCTCTGCCTACTCTCCTAATTTACTTCACTCATCCATGAAGCTGTATTTGGACTGTGTTATCTCTTAAGCTTTCACTGGCAAACCATTTGTGGATGCTTAACCAACGTCAACATCATCGCGGAGCCATGAAACACCCAATAGGTGAAGCTGACCTCATTATGTGAGCGGGGCAATCACTACTTCTAACAGTTGGTCATATTTAATCACCATGATAGTAAAGGCTATTTGTGCAAAATCCCTGCATGTGATTATATGACCGGAGCATTTTACGACTTTTAGCTGGAATGTGATCATAAAATTGAAAAAATATCCTAGTGTTTGGTTGATTTCATTTCACAATAAAATAGCAGGAAGTCATGTAGTGAAAGCAATCAGTTCAACAGAAATGGCAAAATTAAGTAGCCTATGCTGTTTTGTTGAAATGAAAAAGGTCTGTGTAATCCAAACTGTCGCAGGATTATTTTTTTTAAGTATACTCAGGCCATTAGTTAGCGAACAGCCACCTGAAAATGGTTAATGATATATGTTTGTGAATGATGGGGAAGTGAGATCAGGAAGAATGATGCATTGTTGTCTTCACATGTTAGAGTTGGCCTACAGGAGTGGGAGATTTGTCACAATCACATCTCATCTAACAACTGATAAATCTGGCTCCTTGATTGACGTCACCAGACAAAGGCACATGAAGGTCTTAGCTGTTCTATCTCAAATGTGTGAAATGCAGTCTTGTTTGTTCCATTTTTTTAAATAATGCTAATGTTAACCGTGGAATTTAATTGTGTAAAAAAACTGGATAAAAATGGGAATGTTATGGAAATTATTTGACAGGATGTTTCACTTTAGACATATGTCATGGAATTGCAGGTGTACAAAAATCTATATTTCTAAGCAATTTAGGAACTTCTTTTACTTGTTGGATGAAAAGGTCAGTTTGACAGATCATTCTTAACCTCTTTTTTTTTTTTTTTAACCCTAGTCACAGTTATCTACATTAAAAGTCAGAGTGTTTCCTTCAGCACAAAGTATTAGAATAAGTCCATCAAAAGTACACTTCTTCAGAATTTGCAAAAAGATGTAAGCCTAGATTTTGCAGCATCTGTTTCCAAATTGTTATTATTGTGCTTGTTGCTGCCTTGTGTACCTTAAGACGTTCTCCTATTTCACTCTTGGTTACGTAACAACATCACATGTGCTGAGATACGATATCCTATTCAGTATAGGAGTGCTATTCCCTTAGGAGGTTCAGAGCAGACATACAATGTTTGACCTTAGAGACGTACTTATGTGGCAGCTTGAAAAAAGTAGTAAAACTAGTGAAAGTAGTCTTGGTCAGTGGTTTAAAGTGTCAGAAAAGAGTAAAAGAAAATAATTCAGTTTCCTAAAGTCATAGTAAAATGTTCCTTTTTTATGTTCTAGCATGTTAGCATTATTAGCTGCTAAATCGCTACTGCATGGAGTAAATAAGCAGTTGTGTAAGGATTAAATAGGAAATCATTCTAAAAGCCTCGCCTGAGTAAACTAAAATGACCTTCTAACACAAATGCTGCTTAGATTTATTTAAAAAAATGGGGGAAATGGCTAGCAGACCAGAAAGGGAGTATAGCGCTGCCTCTTTCAGAAACAGGACATGCTTCTTCACAGGCCTCATCTCTGGACCAGGGGTAAGAAAGATGATCATTATAAATGAGAAGGTTGTGAAGTTGCCAGCAAAAACACAGCAGAAGGGAGCACTAATTACACTGAACAATCAATATTCCTGCAGCCACTTCTATAATACCGGCAGAGATCCTCCTTAATCCTGAAAGTGCAAATGAAATCTTGAAGCTGGGAGAGTTATCTGTCTCCTCTATTTACTCTTCATCACACTTTATTCTCGGGGAAGTTTCCTGCGTCTAATCGTCATTTTCAGTCCCCTGGGTGCTACAGATTTTAAGTCGGAAAGGAGCATCAGGTGTTTAATTAAATCCACTAAAGTCTTCTTTCTCAAGGGAAGTTAGGGGTCTTGACATGGCAATCGTATCGTACTGCTCCAGCCAAGTGTCAACAGGCGGAATCCTCTGGAGACTCCCTCCTAAAAGAACATACAGTAAGTTGACTCTAAAAGGATAGTTTGGATTTTTTTTGATTGGGTTGTAAGAGGAAATTATCCATATTCAGTTTATTACCAACAGTACTTGCAGAATACAGGAGTTGCTGTTCTACTGTTGACTAGACTGTTTGCAGTTTTTATGTGTTATGCGTGACTTTGGTAATCCTGCACTAACCAAATTTGAACAAAAACATACACCTACTTAGGGATGTAATCAACACTGACATTGATTTATTTTAGGTTGCTCACATATGTTTTGCCACTGCCCATTTGCTCAGCAGCATTGCTTGGCTGATTGAATCGTATTATGGATTATCCCAAGGAAAACTAGCAAAAATGACAACACTTAACAAAATGTTTTCCCAATTGTTACAGTACCAAGAAAACACAACCAAGCTCTAGACAACCAACATGAAAACAACTAAAAACAATCTATAAATTCCAAGAAAAATACAATTTACTCCTATAAAAAAACAAGGCAGCTAAAATAATAAAAATATCATTGGACATTTTACTATAAAACTGTTACCCTGGTCCAAAAACAAAACCCTAACCTAATTTCTTTAGACAATCTTTTTTAATGAAAAACTCAAAACTACATAACATGCTTCTGACTAAAATGTTTACTGGAGGCAGTTAAGAAAACACACACTGGTCCTTGTCCTGGTATTGTACTTAGGTTTTTACCATTGTTATGTGAGAAGCTAAAAAGTACTGAGGAGCATAGTGATAATATTTTTCATATGATGCCACTTCTGTTGTTCTACTCTGAGCTGTCCTGGCAGCAGTCCTACCTTCTTCAACACGTCACAATTAGTTTGAATGGGTTGCTCAAATATCAAATAATATTATTTTGCTTATCTTCAATGTGGTAACTCCACATTGAAGTTCCAACCTCCATCTACTGTGGGCAATACACTGACAAAGGATAAGTCCTCATACAAAAAATGAGAACTGTCCCTTTAACCAGGACAGCTGATCCACCGCTCTGCAGATCAGAGGCCTAGGCATGTTTCTGATTAAGATTCTTCCCAGGGTTTAGACGCAGCCGGAGGCTATGGGACGGGGCTCTGCAGGGGGTTCAGTGCCCAGGAAGCTGGACTGAACTTTATCTATGCTCCACTGAGTCCTCTTAATAATTCATCAAGGGACCGTGCACCTGAAACAACAGCGCTGGGGAGATAAAGGGTGCTGCAAGCGTGGCCATACAGCAAACATATGGGAACAAGGAGGGATGCATTCTTGTTGTTTACCAAGAAAGTAGAAGTTACTTTTGTTTTTATTTTGGAAGTTGGAGTACAGGTTTTTGATGTATCTTAATGTAGCAACTTCAAATAAATGTCTTCATCATGATGCTGTTAAAAGTTCATCCATAAGGCCAAGATCCTCGTTAGGAAGACATAATCCAGAAGTGCATTTGGCAGAAATTACAGGCTAATATGATGACAAATGTGACTTTCACTGGGTGTCATATAACAAGAAAACACTTGAGATAACTAAATGTTCTCAATATAGAAGACAGAGTTCAAGGCAATGTCCATTATTAAACAATTGAAAGTGAGTGTGTCCAGACACCCTGATTCCCTAAATAACTTTATAACAAGACTGTACCTTGCACCATTCTTGAAGTAAATGATGTTTAACAGCGCTGATTGCACAAGAAACAGAAACATGTCATCTTTTACAACAGAGTAGATCAGACATGTGTGCATAAACAGTGAATATAAATAGTTGATTTGGCTTTGTATGGTCACTCTCACAGTCTTACCTTCACATCCAGTTCTCTCAGCGACTTTCCACCTGGTTTACAGCCCGAGCGGTCCTCTGCTCTGTCCTTCCCCCCGATGCTGCTACAGAGTCCCCGAAATCGCTGCTGGACACCCGCTGAGGAGACTTGGAGGAGGACAGAGAAGGGGAGGAGGAGGAGGAGGAGGAGGAGGAGGAGGAGGAGAAGTGGAGTCCAAGCAGCTGGTTCATTACTGCAACGAGTGAGCGGAGGGAGAGGGGAGAAAGGAGGTAGAGGGGAGTGACACTGTGGAGAGGGCGAGAAGCGAGAGAGAGGGAGGGGCTGATCTGTGGAGGTGAGTGACTTGAGGAAGAAAATGAAAAAGAGGAGAGTACCAAGAGGAGACAGGAAATACTGATGGAAAACAATATAAAGTCAGATAAGGGTTGCAAAATGTCGGGCTGTGTTCCAATACATATTCTGGAAAAGAGTCAAAATACATAAACACAAAGCTGTCAGAATGCAGATCAATGTTTCCAAATTCCATACTATGTATTCACTTTAACTATGTACTAAGTACTAAATGTCAAATTGTAGCATTTGTATTCCACTTAGAATACAATATATCCATGCACCTTACTGAATTGTAGCAAGAAGTATTAATATAACTTCACCCAAACTCACTGTAAGTAACAGTTGACCTCAGTAACAGATGTACACATTTTTCTTCTACTTTTTTGGTGATAGACTTACTCTTTTTATATGCGTGGGCCAAAACTCAGCCGAAGTCCCTCCCCTTCCGGCGGAACTCCATGGGACTTTATTTCGGAAAAATTATGTATTGAAGTCAATGGCGAGAGAAAAGTTATCTTTCAATCCCGTTTGAATTGTGCCATGAGTTACACATATGATGTTTGTCAATTTAAAAGATAATTTAGCAAGTCAAGAAAAA